TTGTATTTTTGTCAAACAACAATATTGAATATAGGTACCAGGACCGTATACTATAGTGCTATATTATGAAATCTACCATCTACCACGAGTAGTGTGAGCAGGTTTTAAACACCTAATAATTATATGAACCAGAAAAGTCATAACTTATATCACCCAAAAAATATAGTTTAAATGTTGTAGATCATATCTACGGCCTACGGGCGAATAATCACCTAATCATTAGGTTCTAATGTAATTTGATCTTAAAGTAATTACAATTAAGTGGATAAACCGAAAAATAAAGATTTTTAAAAACACCAACCACTGCGTGTTCAAAGCAGACGCACCCAGCCAGGACGACATTTTTACAGCACCCGGACGGGCTATTAGATTTTTCCGTGAAAAGGAGAAGGGTACAAATTTTTTTAATACAAAATTATAAAATATCGATCGGTTGACTTTTGGTGGTATCGGGTGCCAGGACGACGTTTTTACAGCACCCGGACGGGGGATTCGATTTTGAGTAAAAGTGAGTGGGCTACAACATTTTTTAAGGAGGTTTCAAATGGATACAAATCGGGTACAAAAAAATGAAATATGTCCGGGATCGATCGGTTGACTTTTGGTGGATCCGGGTGCCAGGACGACGTCGTCACAGCACCCGGACGGGGGATTTGGTTTTCCGTAAAAAGGAGAGGGTTACAAATTTTTTTAAGGCGGGTTCAAATGGATACAAATTGGGTACAAAAAAATGAGATAGGTAAGGGGGATTATGATGACTTACGGGTGCCAAAACGACGTACCTGTCCTTTATTACCTATTCGGTTAGCACTAGTTATCAAAGTGTGAAAACCATAACATTTTAAAATATTATGCCATATTTTATACATAGAAGTAGATTTCATTCATTCAAAATTAAACCTGTATATTTATATTGCCATTACTTATTAATAATATTTTACATAGCTATTTTACAAGTAATATCAAACGTCGTCGGAAATTTTAAATAAATCACTTACAAAAAATGTATGTGGTATACTGATATATTATTTCCAATAGCTGTACTATTGGCTACAATTTTTAAAGTTATTCTGCTGGGAACAATGTCTACATAATTAAGTGGGTATACCAAATATCCATATAAATTAACAAATACTTACGTTCACAAACTAAAACTATTGACTTAAAATAATTATTTTATGTATTCACTACTTACCTCTATAGAGGTGGATATCAATTATCAACATAACCATAATAACCAGTAACCATAATTACTAGTATAGAATTTTTGAAAAAAAAGAAGAATTTATTTATTATATGATGTTTTATGATATATTTTATATATAATTTAACTCTATTAGAACAATATAAAAAAAACATAAGATACATTTAAATTTTTTATGATATTTAAAAATAAAGATATATATTATATATAAAAATATAGTTGAACAATGAACATATCTACTTATATAATATCAATTCATAATAATACAAATATGTATATAATATACGTATATTAAAAATGGAATCGACCACTTATATAAATTATAAACAAAACATATAATAGTGTCACTTATATTTTTATGGTTATTTTATTATTAATAATATTAGTTATATACAAACTGATATTATAGCATTCAAATATTCAAATATTTATACTTAAAACAATTAACATTTTTTTTTTTTTTAGCTCATTTTCATCAACATTCTTAAATGAGGTACATACTATATTAATTACACATATAAACTATTTCTAAACTAATTTTATCACACTCATAATTATACACATAGACTTCTTAGTATTTAATTTGGTTAGATCAATATACAAAAACTGAATCTATATTTATTTAAGGAGTAAATTATTAAATAAGTTACATTGGGACCATGGACACATAATTATTGACAAGAACTAATTTATGAAAATGTGTTTATTTATTTTATGATGTAATTTTGCTTAAAAAAACCTGATTTGAATTTGCAATAAGTCATAAAGAAGTCAAAGGATATTGCACAATAACAACACCTTGTCGGTCCTCTTTGTTAAACTTCTCCTTCTCTACATGTGTAGCTATGTGAGATACTATGACCCCGTATAAATACGAGTAGAATATGATACATTGAGACTAGTCTAACATCCTAGTAAAATAAGGTTTTTTTTTTTAATGTTACTTAATTCTTATTTTCAGTTTCAGCCTGGAATAATCTAATTATTTATATTTGATAATTTTTTATTCGCTGTATCTGCTATAATTTTTACTACTTAATCTAATGACATAAAATAATATAGAAAGTTATGTTAAAGTTATGTTAGTTATTTTAAAGTTAATTATAAAACAAAATGTAAATTTATATTAATTTAATAAAATAATTAACAGTCATTATATTTATAATATCCGCTTTAACTGTTTGCTTTCATAAATATATAAGATATTGCCTATTTTAATACATAAATGTTCATAAATCTTTAAATTCCTCAAGATAACTAGATACCTCAGTTCGGCCGCAACAATGGACACTATTGACAAAATTGTTGACACGTATTTAGACACTACGAAACAATATTGCATTGAAAACTAATTGATTCCATCGAAATCAAACATTTTCTGTCAGAATTTTAAAACCGTTTTTACGGACTTTACTTACGAAATTGTGGGGAAAAGAGCAAACATTTTGAAAACGTTGTGACATCCTTCTATAAGGGGGAGGAGAGGTTTAATAAATTGTGTGGGTAATTTATCAAACATTTTATTTGCAATTTGCGATAATAGTTGCGTAGAAACAAACACAAATAATATAGTTCAATTACAACAATCCGAGAAAAACGCATTAAATATATTAAAATCACAAACGAGTCACTAAAACAGTAGTTAGACAATCTGAACAAAGTTATAGGGACATCACATTTCTACGAAATAGAACAAACGAGTTTATGATGGATATTAGAAGTTTATCCGACCAAGCAATAAATAAAACATAAGAATTAGATCATAGAACACGAATACGAGATTCGTATTTGTTATTAAATGTATTATTAAGTCAGTATGCATTCGAGACTAATTATATTTCGGAAATGATAAATCTGGCAAGGGCAGGTCAAATACATTCGGGAGTTTTATCAATTGAGGCATTACACGAAAGTATGAAAGAAATTAAATTATATCTTCCTAAAGGTACATCACTACCAATCGATATAGATAGGTAATATTGAACCATATAATTTGTATCAATTATCGGAATTGAGTGTGGTTTATCAAAATCAATTATTGTTTAATATTAAAATACCTTTAGTAGATCAACAAAATTTTAATTTGTATAATATTGTGGCGATACCGTTAAGCGCTACCGATGTAGTAACGCATAAAATTAACACACCGCGCTGCGTAAAACCGATTAACATACGTCCTTATCGATTACCCTGGGCTTATCAACAGGAAATTGAAAACAGGTAACTTTTTTTTTTTTTGTGTGGTATCGAGAGCCAGAGGGGGAACCGCGTTAGCATTACATCCCATCAAAGCATTACTTCCCCTCAAGCATTACTTCCCCTCAAACATAACTTCCCCTCACTGACATGAAACAAGATAATATAATACGTAATTCTACTTCGCCTTTTAATTTTACACTGGTAGTAGTTAAGAAAAAAGTAAAAGACCAGGATGGGAAACCAAAACTTCGAATTTGTGTAGATTCTCGTAAACTAAATGAAATAACCGAAAATGAAGCGTATAGTTTACCAAATTTACTCGAAATTCTAGAATCTTTAGGGTCATCAAAATAGTTCTCTACTCTTAACCTTAAAGCTGGTTACCACCAAATCAAAATTGACGAAAGTGATATTCATAAAACCACGTTTTCCACAAAATCGGGACATTATGAATATGTACGTATGCCTTTCGGGCTGAGCTGTGCTCCAGACACATTTACGAGGGCAATTAAAGCAGTTTTGATGGGGTTAGGAGAGATGTATACAGCATATCTTGATGACATAGTGGTACACGGTTCTAGTCTTAGGGATCATCAGGAAAAATTAATCCGATTGTTCGACAGATTGCGAGTACATAATTTAAAATTGCAACCACAAAAATGTAATTTTCTTAGGAAAGAAGTAGTGTATCTCGGACATGTTATTAACGAAACGGGGGTGTCCCCGGATCCAAAGAAAATTCAGTATATAAAAGATTATCCGCGACCGAAAAACGCGAAGGACATTAAGTCATTTTTAGGATTATTGAACTATTATAGACGATTTGTAGACAATTTCGCAAAAATTGCAAAACCATTGACTGCCTTACTAAAAAAGAATGTAATCCTCATTATTAGTATGTATAATAATAGTATAATTATGTATTTAAATTCACTGATATTCGATGACTTTGCTGAAAAGCCATAAAATAGGAAAGCGTGTGCAGTTCAAAGGTGAAGACTAGAAATAGCGCATACCATTAGTTTGTACGGACGTCATCATAACAAGGTGACTCCGCTTAGTATAAATAGGAAAGTCATAGACAAAGTCGGGGAGTCGAATACGAGAGACGACAAGAGTACTTTTAGTTTAGAACGGACGTATTGTTATTATTAATAAAAATACTTTGAGTAAACATAAATTTGTGTAACTTTATTATATTTCTAATTCAATTTCGAGTGCTGGAACGGACACGTTACAATAATAGTCATCAAACAAATTCTAGTCAAAAAACTCATTCTAGAGTTTGAAAACAAGATCTTCAGGTAAATTATTTGATTCATTATATTTTATTTTATTTAGGAATTATTTTCAATACTTATAGGTGTAAGTACCACAGTAAATACTACAATAATTGATTTAAATTATAGCAATAGTCAACAACAAAATAAAGAAATATTCATGTATACAACTGGTAATTATAAAATAGGCTATACTAGGCCTTCCTATATAACTATTATTTTTATTTTAGATATTATTAATGATAATAATTATTGTATTGACAATGAAAAAGAAAAATTAACTGAAAATTCAACAAATATAATTGTAAATTCTTGCAATGAATGTGAAGAAAAGCAATCTTCATCCAATGGTAAATATTTTAAAAGTACCTATAAGACAATTTTTTTAAACTTCTATAGAATCTCAAAATAATGTGTTTACTGGTATTGAAGACTTATCAAGTGATGATGAAGAAATAGATGACACAGACAAGGACAAAGATTATACATCTACCGTATTAGAATGCAATGAATCACTTGAAGACTTCTCCCTTGATTTGGACCTTTTTCTCAACGATGAAAATATTTTAAATGGCGATATTACAGACAATCCACCTAATATATCAGATTTTAATTTTGAAAAAGCAGGATGTTCTCCAGAAAAATATAAACCGACCTGTTTTAGAGAAGTGCATGGTTCAGGTAATAAAAATATTTATAAAATGTGTCCCATACAGATCTTTGATATGATTATGGGTAATATTATGTATCAAAAAATTGTGTTTGAATCAAGTTTATATGCTGAACAACATAATATATCATTAAACACCAACATTGAAGAATTAAAAGCTTTTCTGGGGTTACTGATATATATGGGTTATCATGAGCTACCAGGTATTAGGCTGTATTGGTCAATTAATGATCCAAATTTTTATTGTGATCGAGTTGCACAAGTAATGCCAGTTCAACAATTTTTAAAACTACTTCGCTGTATTCATCTTAATGGCAATTCATAAAATGCCACAAAGACAGTCTCAAGAGTTTGACAAGCTTTTTAAAATTCGTCCCCTGCTATCTCATTTACAAGAAAAATATAAAACTACGTACAAGCCTTCAAGACACCTTGCTGTGGATGAAACATGGTTGCTTTCAAAGGTCGTTCATCAATGAAGCAATTTATGCCATTAAAGCCAATAAAACGAGGCTTTAAAGTTTGGGCTTTGGCTGATTCTCAAAGTGGATTTTTGTTAAACTTTGACGTGTATACAGGGAAAAAATCAGACGGTAATGTTGAATATGGTTTGGGAGAAAATGTTGTTCTTTCGCTAACCGATAAATTAAAAAATAAATTTTATTGTATTTATTTTGACAATTTTTTTACAAGTATACCACTCATATCTAAGCTTTTATATGATGGTTTATTTGCTTGTGGCACTTTTAGAGTCAATAAAATATTTTACCTTAAACATTTAATGAAAAATGATAACAAATATATGCCTGGTGATATAGAGTATGCACAATCAAAAGAAATTAGTGTGATGAGATGGAAAAACAGAGGAGCAAAACCAGTTATATTAATTAGTAATATGCATAATGCATGAAAGTCTACTATAGTCAACAGAAAAAATAAAAAAGGAGAGAAAATTGCAGTGAAATGTCCTGTAGGTATATCTGATTACAACAAGCATATGAGTGGTGTGGACAAATTCGACCAATATATGGCCAATTATTCAATATCCCAAAAGTCTCATCGTTGGTGATTGAAATTATTTTTTTACATGATTGATACTGCTGTTATAAATTCATTTATTTTATACAAAGAAAAAGCAAAACAATGAAAAAAAAAATATTAATCAATTGGAATTCAGATCAAGACTTACTGATGAGCTTATAAGTGATTTTAGTTCTAGAAAAAAAACAGACTTCATCACCTCAAGATCGAATTATAAAAAAAAAAATTCAAGTCTCCATCATAAGTCCATTATTTAAAAATGTTGAACATTTACCAAAATGTATTAGTCAACCAGCTACTCGATAAGCGTTGTCCTCTTAGTAATACAGAGTACACTTTAGAATAATCAATACATTTACAACTTCAAGAGCTGCCTAACCGAGCACTAGATGAAAACCGTGGGCCACAAGAACATGACTGTAAAGCAAATAATAACATTTATATATTATGTAAATTGCTATATTTTTGATACTCTAATATATCTTTTGAATTCTATACTAGGGGATGAACATGACTTTTTTGTTCCGGAAGATTTGGCATTAGTAATGTGGCAGGAAGTGTACAGTAGGGATCAACCTGAGGATATTCCATATGTCCAAGTTAATCGTAACCATCCGGGAGTTAATTTGAATGATGATACAGTTTGTGTAGTGTGTAGAGATAATACACGAACCTGAGGATATTCCATATGTCCAAGTTAATCGTAACCATCCGGGAGTTAATTTGAATGATGACACAGTTTGTGTAGTGTGTAGAGATAATACACGAACACATGCACTTGTACCTTGTGGTCACAAAGTGCTTTGTGAAGAATGTGTCAACCAGCTACTCGATAAGCGTTGTCCTCTTAGTAATACAGAGTACACTTTAGAATAATCAATACATTTACAACTTCAAGAGCTGCCTAACCGAGCACTAGATGAAAACCGTGAGCCAGATGAACATGACTGTGAGGCAAATAATAACATTTATATATTATTTAAATTGCTATATTTTTGATACTCTAATATATCTTTTGAATTATATACTAGTGCATGAACATGACTTTTTTTTTCTGGAAGATTTGGCCTTAGTAATGTGGCAGGAAGTGTACAGTAGGGATCAACCTGAGGATATTCCATATGTCCAAGTTAATCGTAACCATCCGGGAGTTAATTTGAATGATGATACAGTTTGTGTAGTGTGTAGAGATAATACACGAACCTGAGGATATTCCATATGTCCAAGTTAATCGTAACCATCCGGGAGTTAATGTGAATGATGACACAGTTTGTGTAGTGTGTAGAGATAATACACGAACACATGCACTTGTACCTTCTGGTCACAAAGTGCTTTGTGAAGAATGTGTCAACCAGCTACTCGATAAGCGTTGTCCTCTTAGTAATACAGAGTACACTTTAGAAGAATCAATACATTTACAACTTCAAGAGCTGCCTAACCGAGCACTAGATGAAAACCGTGTGCCAGAAGAACATGACTGTGAGGCAAATAATAACATTTATATATTATTTAAATTGCTATATTTTTGATACTCTAATATATCTTTTGAATTATATACTAGTGGATGAACATGACTTTTTTTTTCTGGAAGATTTGGCCTTAGTAATGAAGCAGGAAGTGTACAGTAGGGATCAACCTGAGGATATTCCATATGTCCAAGTTAATCGTAACCATCCGGGAGTTAATTTGAATGATGATACAGTTTGTGTAGTGTGTAGAGATAATACACGAACCTGAGGATATTCCATATGTCCAAGTTAATCGTAACCATCCGGGAGTTAATTTGAATGATGACACAGTTTGTGTAGTGTGTAGAGATAATACACGAACACATGCACTTGTACCTTGTGGTCACAAAGTGCTTTGTGAAGAATGTGTCAACCAGCTACTCGATAAGCGTTGTCCTCTTAGTAATACAGAGTACACTTTAGAAGAATCAATACATTTACAACTTCAAGAGCTGCCTAACCGAGCACTAGATGAAAACCGTGTGCCGGAAGAACATGACTGTGAGGCAAATAATAACATTTATATATTATTTAAATTGCTATATTTTTGATACTCTAATATATCTTTTGAATTATATACTAGTGGATGAACATGACTTTTTTTTTCTGGAAGATTTGGCCTTAGTAATGAAGCAGGAAGTGTACAGTAGGGATCAACCTGAGGATATTCCATATGTCCAAGTTAATCGTAACCATCCGGGAGTTAATTTGAATGATGATACAGTTTGTGTAGTGTGTAGAGATAATACACGAACCTGAGGATATTCCATATGTCCAAGTTAATCGTAACCATCCGGGAGTTAATTTGAATGATGATACAGTTTGTGTAGTGTGTAGAGATAATACACGAACCTGAGGATATTCCATATGTCCAAGTTAATCGTAACCATCCGGGAGTTAATTTGAATGATGATACAGTTTGTGTAGTGTGTAGAGATAATACACGAACCTGAGGATATTCCATATGTCCAAGTTAATCGTAACCATCCGGGAGTTAATTTGAATGATGATACAGTTTGTGTAGTGTGTAGAGATAATACACGAACACATGCACTTGTACCTTGTGGTCACAAAGTGCTTTGTGAAGAATGTGTCAACCAGCTATTCGATAAGCGTTGTCCTCTTAGTAATACAGAGTACACTTTAGAAGAATCAATACATTTACAACTTCAAGAGCTGCCTAACCGAGCACTAGATGAAAACCATGTGCCAGAAGAACATGACTGTGAGGCAAATAATAACATTTATATATTATTTAAATTGCTATATTTTTGATACTCTAATATATCTTTTGAATTATATACTAGTGGATGAACATGACTTTTTTTTTCTGGAAGATTTGGCCTTAATAATGAAGCAGGAAGTGTACAGTAGGGATCAACCTAAGGATATTCCATATGTCCAAGTTAATCGTAACCATCCGGGAGTTAATTTGAATGATGATACAGTTTGTGTAGTGTGTAGAGATAATACACGAACCTGATGATATTCCATATGTCCAAGTTAATCGTAACCATCCGGGAGTTAATGTGAATGATGACACAGTTTGTGTAGTGTGTAGAGATAATACACGAACACATGCACTTGTACCTTGTGGTCACAAAGTGCTTTGTGAAGAATGTGTCAACCAGCTACTCGATAAGCGTTGTCCTCTTAGTAATACAGAGTACACTTTAGAAGAATCAATACATTTACAACTTCAAGAGCTGCCTAACCGAGCACTAGATGAAAACCGTGTGCCAGAAGAACATGACTGTGAGGCAAATAATAACATTTATATATTATTTAAATTGCTATATTTTTGATACTCTAATATATCTTTTGAATTATATACTAGTGGATGAACATGACTTTTTTTTTCTGGAAGATTTGGCCTTAGTAATGAAGCAGGAAGTGTACAGTAGGGATCAACCTGAGGATATTCCATATGTCCAAGTTAATCGTAACCATCCGGGAGTTAATTTGAATGATGATACAGTTTGTGTAGTGTGTAGAGATAATACACGAACCTGAGGATATTCCATATGTCCAAGTTAATCGTAACCATCCGGGAGTTAATTTGAATGATGACACAGTTTGTGTAGTGTATAGAGATAATACACGAACACATGCACTTGTACCTTGTGGTCACAAAGTGCTTTGTGAAGAATGTGTCAACCAGCTACTCGATAAGCGTTGTCCTCTTAGTAATACAGAGTACACTTTAGAAGAATCAATACATTTACAACTTCAAGAGCAGCCTAACCGAGCACTAGATGAAAACCGTGTGCCAGAAAAACATGACTGTGAGGCAAATAATAACATTTATATATTATTTAAATTGCTATATTTTTGATACTCTAATATATCTTTTGAATTATATACTAGTGGATGAACATGACTTTTTTTTTCTGGAAGATTTGGCCTTAGTAATGAAGCAGGAAGTGTACAGTAGGGATCAACCTGAGGATATTCCATATGTCCAAGTTAATCGTAACCATCCGGGAGTTAATTTGAATGATGATACAGTTTGTGTAGTGTGTAGAGATAATACACGAACCTGAGGATATTCCATATGTCCAAGTTAATCGTAACCATCCGGGAGTTAATTTGAATGATGATACAGTTTGTGTAGTGTGTAGAGATAATACACGAACCTGAGGATATTCCATATGTCCAAGTTAATCGTAACCATCCGGGAGTTAATTTGAATGATGATACAGTTTGTGTAGTGTGTAGAGATAATACACGAACCTGAGGATATTCCATATGACCAAGTTAATCGTAACCATCCGGGAGTTAATTTGAATGATGATACAGTTTGTGTAGTGTGTAGAGATAATACACGAACCTGAGGATATTCCATATGTCCAAGTTAATCGTAACCATCCGGGAGTTAATTTGAATGATGATACAGTTTGTGTAGTGTGTAGAGATAATACACGAACCTGAGGATATTCCATATGTCCAAGTTAATCGTAACCATCCGGGAGTTAATTTGAATGATGACACAGTTTGTGTAGTGTGTAGAGATAATACACGAACACATGCACTTGTACCTTGTGGTCACAAAGTGCTTTGTGAAGAATGTGTCAACCAGCTACTCGATAAGCGTTGTCCTCTTAGTAATACAGAGTACACTTTAGAAGAATCAATACATTTACAACTTCAAGAGCTGCCTAACCGAGCACTAGATGAAAACCGTGTGCCGGAAGAACATGACTGTGAGGCAAATAATAACATTTATATATTATTTAAATTGCTATATTTTTGATACTCTAATATATCTTTTGAATTATATACTAGTGGATGAACATGACTTTTTTTTTCTGGAAGATTTGGCCTTAGTAATGAAGCAGGAAGTGTACAGTAGGGATCAACCTGAGGATATTCCATATGTCCAAGTTAATCGTAACCATCCGGGAGTTAATTTGAATGATGATACAGTTTGTGTAGTGTGTAGAGATAATACACGAACCTGAGGATATTCCATATGTCCAAGTTAATCGTAACCATCCGGGAGTTAATTTGAATGATGATACAGTTTGTGTAGTGTGTAGCGATAATACACGAACCTGAGGATATTCCATATGTCCAAGTTAATCGTAACCATCCGGGAGTTAATTTGAATGATGATACAGTTTGTGTAGTGTGTAGAGATAATACACGAACCTGAGGATATTCCATATGTCCAAGTTAATCGTAACCATCCGGGAGTTAATGTGAATGATGACACAGTTTGTGTAGTGTGTAGAGATAATACACGAACACATGTTCTTGTACCTTGTGGTCACAAAGTGCTTTGTGAAGAATGTGTCAACCAGCTACTCGATAAGCGTTGTCCTCTTAGTAATACAGAGTACACTTTAGAAGAATCAATACATTTACAACTTCAAGAGCTGCCTAACCGAGCACTAGATGAAAACCATGTGCCAGAAGAACATGACTGTGAGGCAAATAATAACATTTATATATTATTTAAATTGCTATATTTTTGATACTCTAATATATCTTTTGAATTATATACTAGTGGATGAACATGACTTTTTTTTTCTGGAAGATTTGGCCTTAGTAATGAAGCAGGAAGTGTACAGTAGGGATCAACCTGAGGATATTCCATATGTCCAAGTTAATCGTAACCATCCGGGAGTTAATTTGAATGATGATACAGTTTGTGTAGTGTGTAGAGATAATACACGAACCTGAGGATATTCCATATGTCCAAGTTAATCGTAACCATCCGGGAGTTAATGTGAATGATGACACAGTTTGTGTAGTGTGTAGAGATAATACACGAACACATGCACTTGTACCTTCTGGTCACAAAGTGCTTTGTGAAGAATGTGTCAACCAGCTACTCGATAAGCGTTGTCCTCTTAGTAATACAGAGTACACTTTAGAAGAATCAATACATTTACAACTTCAAGAGCTGCCTAACCGAGCACTAGATGAAAACCGTGTGCCAGAAGAACATGACTGTGAGGCAAATAATAACATTTATATATTATTTAAATTGCTATATTTTTGATACTCTAATATATCTTTTGAATTATATACTAGTGGATGAACATGACTTTTTTTTTCTGGAAGATTTGGCCTTAGTAATGAAGCAGGAAGTGTACAGTAGGGATCAACCTGAGGATATTCCATATGTCCAAGTTAATCGTAACCATCCGGGAGTTAATTTGAATGATGATACAGTTTGTGTAGTGTGTAGAGATAATACACGAACCTGAGGATATTCCATATGTCCAAGTTAATCGTAACCATCCGGGAGTTAATTTGAATGATGACACAGTTTGTGTAGTGTGTAGAGATAATACACGAACACATGCACTTGTACCTTGTGGTCACAAAGTGCTTTGTGAAGAATGTGTCAACCAGCTACTCGATAAGCGTTGTCCTCTTAGTAATACAGAGTACACTTTAGAAGAATCAATACATTTACAACTTCAAGAGCTGCCTAACCGAGCACTAGATGAAAACCGTGTGCCAGAAGAACATGACTGTGAGGCAAATAATAACATTTATATATTATTTAAATTGCTATATTTTTGATACTCTAATATATCTTTTGAATTATATACTAGTGGATGAACATGACTTTTTTTTTCTGGAAGATTTGGCCTTAGTAATGAAGCAGGAAGTGTACAGTAGGGATCAACCTGAGGATATTCCATATGTCCAAGTTAATCGTAACCATCCGGGAGTTAATTTGAATGATGATACAGTTTGTGTAGTGTGTAGAGATAATACACGAACCTGAGGATATTCCATATGTCCAAGTTAATCGTAACCATCCGGGAGTTAATTTGAATGATGATACAGTTTGTGTAGTGTGTAGAGATAATACACGAACCTGAGGATATTCCATATGTCCAAGTTAATCGTAACCATCCGGGAGTTAATTTGAATGATGATACAGTTTGTGTAGTGTGTAGAGATAATACACGAACACATGCACTTGTACCTTGTGGTCACAAAGTGCTTTGTGAAGAATGTGTCAACCAGCTATTCGATAAGCGTTGTCCTCTTAGTAATACAGAGTACACTTTAGAAGAATCAATACATTTACAACTTCAAGAGCTGCCTAACCGAGCACTAGATGAAAACCATGTGCCAGAAGAACATGACTGTGAGGCAAATAATAACATTTATATATTATTTAAATTGCTATATTTTTGATACTCTAATATATCTTTTGAATTATATACTAGTGGATGAACATGACTTTTTTTTTCTGGAAGATTTGGCCTTAGTAATGAAGCAGGAAGTGTACAGTAGGGATCAACCTGAGGATATTCCATATGTCCAAGTTAATCGTAACCATCCGGGAGTTAATTTGAATGATGATACAGTTTGTGTAGTGTGTAGAGATAATACACGAACCTGAGGATATTCCATATGTCCAAGTTAATCGTAACCATCCGGGAGTTAATGTGAATGATGACACAGTTTGTGTAGTGTGTAGAGATAATACACGAACACATGCACTTGTACCTTGTGGTCACAAAGTGCTTTGTGAAGAATGTGTCAACCAGCTACTCGATAAGCGTTGTCCTCTTAGTAATACAGAGTACACTTTAGAATAATCAATACATTTACAACTTCAAGAGCTGCCTAACCGAGCACTAGATGAAAACCGTGTGCCAGAAGAACATGACTGTGAGGCAAATAATAACATTTATATATTATTTAAATTGCTATATTTTTGATACTCTAATATATCTTTTGAATTATATACTAGTGCATGAACATGACTTTTTTTTTCTGGAAGATTTGGCCTTAGTAATGTGGCAGGAAGTGTACAGTAGGGATCAACCTCTGTCAAATAAGACCACTAGTAAAGGTGAAAGTAAATCCCATGCTATTGGACCCGAATCCAACGCTTCTTCTGGTCTCTGGTGGCGTAAGGCTGTTAGTTATAACAACCGTATTACTACTGATGTCCGTTTTTCCTTTGCTCTGCCAATGGCAAACCGAATCGATCAGTGTGCAGTGCGTTGTCCTCTTGACGATAACATTTTCGCTCTCACTTTTAATTTACAACATTCCGGTCTTCATTCTGACTGTTTACGGCAGGGCTCTCCCAACAGGCCTACCTCTGAGCAAGCGGAACATATTATGCTCATCACTCGCGCGGCCTGTAACGTATACCTTAACCGGCTCCAAGAAAACCTCTTTTCGACTGATCCCAATTCTCCTGTTCCTTCCGCACTATTGTCAAATACATCAAATGAACTCATTACATATAACATGGATGAACACTCTACTTTGTGTAATTTGAGTACTGAAAATATAGTAAGCATATTTTCCAACCAACTGAATAAGTTAAAAGAAAAAACCACTGAAAATGTCCCAAATAATGAACCGATTCCACGATTGAAAGTTGCTAGCTATGGAGAAGTATTAACAACCACAGAAGTTTTAAAAAGATTAGAAAAAGCTCAATCTAAGAAAAATTATAAAAAACCAACATCAAAACGCGGCAGGCCAAAGAAAAATATAAATATAAGACAACCAGAAATGGCAACAACAAAAGGCATCAACAAAATACATATTAGTGAAGACGAAGAAGATGAAGAAAACTGCATTTCATCAGACTCATCATATGATGTGAATGACACTCCATTTGATATTGATGTGGAAGAAGTTGAGTATCAACAACCACAATGGTCTCTTATTCTTTCAGGCACGTTCATTTTGGTTGATTTTGTAGGAGGCATGCGTAAAAAGCAACATTTTAAATATGTTTGTGTAGTTGAAAGTGTTGATGACGAAGATGGAGAAATTATAGCAAAAGGAAACTATGTTGGAGATGAATACTCAATCAATGAAAATGACATCACAACTATTGATTTGGAAATGATATATGATATTAGCAATATTGCCAGTTCCACAAATTATAATGAAAGGGCAAAAAATGATATACAAATTTCCTGGTTATGTAACCATTAATGAAAAAGAGTGATTACTACCTTAAGTGCAATTTATATATATTTGAAAGACTGTTTCTATTATTTATTGTTTAAGTTTTTTTTTTTTATATTTATACTTAAGGGGCTGTCCCTTAACTAACTACCTATACTAACAATGCAAAAGACTGCAATTTAAATCTAAAATATGTTTATAATATGTTTTTAATATTTTTTCTAATATGTTTATTGTAAAATATTCTTTATAAAATGATTCTTTTTACTAATAAACATACAGTGAGATACTGACAATTGTATTCTATACCTAAATAAAAAAGAAATCAACTTAATTTTTAATTAAAGTTATTTTTTAGAAAAGTTATGGAAATTTACATTTGCCCCATTAATTTTTCATTGACAATTATACATTATTTTTATTTGCCCCGGTCAAAGTATAATATTTGGGGCTAATGTAAATTTGTGTGTATTGGGTCTATCAAAACGTTAAATAAAAGGTAATACAGGTTGTTTTCATATGCCCCAGATCCAGATTCTATTTCACTCTTATAACGTGAAATCATTGTTTACATTTACCCCAAATAAATGGGGCAAATGTAAATGAATGGGGCATATGTAAATTATTTTTTTTTTCTTAAGTGATTTAATATTCTGGTCTTGTGTAGGAAATTTTATAAGCCTAGGATATGTTTATGAATGGTTTTGATGAGAAAGAAAATGTATTGTTAATTATAATTTAGAAAATAAAAAAAATATTAAAAAGTAACAAAATTTATTTAAAATTACCCCATTTGACCCTACTATTTAACTCAACTGTTAGAAAAGATTTTGGAAATCAAATTATTTTTAATAAATTGATTGAAGAAATTATTTTTTAGAAACTATTGGTGTTGCATAGTTGTTGATAACAAAAATTATAAATTGTATTTTTCCCTAACATTAATAGTTGGAGATAACCTAACCTAACCTAACCTAACCTAACCTAACCTAACCTAACCTAACCTAACCTAACCTAACCTAACCTAACCTAACCTAACCTAGCTAGGTCTACACTCGATTTTAGGATTTTCTGAAAGCTTCATGGGTAACTTCCCATGCAGATTTTGTAAAACTTCAAAAGCAGACTGTAACATACTAAGAATTATACTCAGCTGCTTCCATCTACGGCATTCAGTCCATAATTGTTTGTATTTAAGTCTTAAAAATGCATCTAATCTATAAAATATTATCTCACTTAAATTAACGTGGAGTTCTTGTTGTCATTGTTGGTTAGATTGTGTTGCAACTGTTGGTTATTATCTTAGGAGTTGTAACATAAATTGCTGCAGATTTTTCTCATTTGCATTGTACTGTTCGATGGTTGCCACATGGGATTTGAATCCAATGATCCCAATGTTAAAAGCTTCCTATCAATTCGTATTGATTTCTGATCTATCAACAAACAAATATTATGCATTATTGACCAGGATGTAATGAATAAATAATTGTAGAGAGTTTACATTAAAATTAAACTATATTATATATTTCAAACACAAATCACAAGTCAAATTGTAAGAACGAAGTAAAAACTCCTGTAAAATATTAATTTTTAGTACCTAGTCTAATGTGCATGGAGTACAGAGACTATAGAACATATAAATGGTCCTCTATTTTTTACTCTATTATGTATAGTGTTTCCCATACCCTTTTTCCTAGACCATAGTTTTTATAATTTATTAAGAGGACGTCTCACACCCGCACGTCTCCTTTTGCACACTCACAACATAGACAACACGCGTTTACGCAGCCTGAATAGAACTCACTCAATGTTGATTTCAGAGTACAATACTTATTATAAAATTGAATTGTGACAATATTTCTGAGGGCAAGTCGTTGCGTTATTTTTCATTACACCCAATATAATGAACCTTATATTGGGTGTAATAAAAAAATAATGCAACGACTTGCCCTCAGAAATATTGTCTTCTTTTAATTTTGTAATAGGTGTTTTTATTCTAACACCAAAATTGAGCAAGTTCCACTCAGCCTGTGTTTTGTGTTTTGTCTATGTGTACAAGACGGAGACAACACATGCATGTGTGATGTCCTCTTAACACCCTTATTGTAGTTTTTGAATCGACCTATGGTTTTCTAAATAGTAAATCATAATACGGTGGCCACTATTTGGAACATTTGATATGACCAGGTTTGCAAATAACCAATTATAATTTATAATATTTCATTCTTATAGTAGTAAACAACTTTTTATTTAAAATTAAGATTCATTTTTGATTGCAATTATTATTACACAATAACATGTTTTTCATGTGTGTAAAAAGTTTTGGTAACATCGTCGAGTGTCATTCTAATGGTAATAACCGAGGTAAAAATCATATGGTGATACAGTGTTGGGTAAATTACTTTTAAAAAACAAGGAAATTAAGGTACTCGTTACTTCAAATATTTTTATTTAAATTACATTTGGGAAACCAAAAATTTTTTTATCACATTACATTACTTTTTTATTAATAAAGTAGTGCGTTACAAATAACGGAACTTTATTTTAACCATATTCAATTCATATGATTCAATTTTATGTACATTATATTTTACAATCATAGACCTATTATAGTAGGTATTATGTACAAATGTACAATCATCTCACCTATATGGCTATACAGTCATAAGTCATAAATCATAATTAATTTTTATTGAATTTTATTTTTAAACCGAACTCTTTTCTTTCTGCTAATAAAGTGATGACATTTATTTCTGGAATGTTAAATATTATTGTTAAATATTATCGGAATCAAAAATAAATATAATTGATTTTTAATATTTCTGGGAAATCCTATCAGCTTGTTTTTGTAATACATTCAAAAGTATTATTTTAATAACATGGAAAATAACGCGTTAGTGCGTTTCTTCATAGAAGTTACTTTACAAAAGTAATTTTGTTACAATTGCATTACTTTAAGTAAAATGTAATAAAATGACTGCTGTGTTACTGAAAAAGTAATTGCGTTAGAGTAATTTGTAATTTTCGTTACGTCACTACCCAACACTGGTGATACAAAGCATATTTAAGTTTTTGGTAGGTACCTAATAATGTTGGTGAAATCCATGAGTTTGTAACAGGTACAACACTGTTTTGTATTAGAATGGTGCCACAGTTCTCCATAAAGAACCATCATCTATTATTCCCATAATGTTCCGATGATCGTTCAGTGATCTACTGTGAGTGACCACCACAACCAGAGACAAAGGCGAAGTCATACACATGTGACCCACCATTAGTGTTGTGTTGGTTCCACAGAGCCACCCCCTCAACACTGCTGTATGCTTCATCATCGTCATTGTATTGCAAATATATTTGTCTCCAAAAGTCTTGGTTGGTTGCAAATGAGCGTGTGTCTGACATTACGTTATTAATTTATTGTGCAATAAATTAATGTGATAAACAACGTTTGCGGCCATACTTATTTTTCATCACAATAGCAGTGAATATCCGAGCGGTACATTTATCACGGTGGCGTATTCTAATTAACATAATACAATTTCCATCAGCTGAAATAAAATAGTTGTTTATTCAGTAAGTTAGTTGTTCAAGTAGCAAACGCGGTGCCACGTCAGCAGGGAAATAAGGTAACCTTAAACGATAAAAACTATTGCGTCTTACTTTCCATCCGACGATGATCACAATATATTCGCAACGCATTCTCATGGGCCACGACACCATTGCATTCGATACAACCGTGACAACGTTTATACTTATTAGTTATTACTTTCACGGGCAAAATAAAAATTCAGATTTTGATACAAATTATCGAAGCAGCCTGTTGTACCAGTCGGCTGTAAGGTCTTGTTTACACGTAACGAGCGCACGGCCGAGAAACACGTTTTGTTGTTCGGCCTACTACTGAAATTGAGAGATAGGTTAGGAGGAAGATAACCCATTTTCTTGTTGAGTAGCACGATAGTATTTTATATTGCTGTCTCTCTCCCTTATTCGGGAACGCTAACCGATTTGTTATTGATATACGACAACAGATTTATAATTTAATATATATCCACAGTTGTTGTATATATCTGTGTATACGAATGACGTCCTGTTCATTGTACATTATCTATGGTGACCAGCGTTGCGGTGCTCGCTGCTTAGTTGGACTTCTGTCGCGACTCGCACTCTATCGTATAACCACGTAACACCTGAACCCCACCACACCCACTCAAAGCGTTTGTGAATAATACTCATTTTTGATAAAAATAATATGATAAAGCTATCTTTTTTCTTATCTATATATTCATGATTCCAGCCCAGTGTCTGAGTTCGTTATTCCAGTCGACTGAATTTCGGAACTAATCGATGAATAATGATTATTATGTAACTAATCAAGTAACATTTGTTTGTAATATACGTAGTGTTGTAGCTAAATCGTTGTATTTGTGTTTGGTTTATCTTTATATTTTATACTCTGCGTTTTTTACAACATTTTTAAGGATGTGGAGTAATTTAGAAAAAAGCAATATTATGGATAAGTCTCAAGGTAAGTAAACAATTTAAAATTTACATTTTACATTATAATCTATTGTGGATATTTTATTCAAGCCAATTTATACAATTTTATTATCCCATTAGTATAGTTATTGATTTTTCTTTTTTCGTTAAATTTATTAACCATTTTTACCAAACTAAATTAATGTTGAAAAATTAAAAATCAAGGGTTTTATTGTTTGATGTATGGAAAAATTTGTATCTAAATATAACTCTATCATGTTATGTTATGTTATTGATATTCAAAACTACCATAAAAATATTAATTATGACCGTATAAACATAAAGTAGGTACCTGAAGTACCTCCATAGAAGTCTTAGAATTCTTAGGTAGATTTATATATTATAAACTAACTTGGATAGAGTAGATATGACTAATTATTATTAAATTATATAGTTATATTTTATATTTTTAATCATAACAGAGATAACTTGAATTGTATATTTTGTAAATTATTTATAATGTATACTTTTATTGAATATAATATGATATGGGTTGCATAAGCAATCACCAAATAGTTAATGAATTATTGTAAGCTAATAGCTTCTTAAAAGTGATTAGTTCATTAAATTAATACATTTTTTATGTAACCTGGCATAAGATACCATAGATAACTTAGATATATATTATTATATGACAACTTTATTTAAATATACAATAATTAAGTAGGGTTGATAAAGGGAGCTCACTAACCATCTGTTTAATGTTTAACAATTATTCATTCAACCTGGCACTTAAGTATTAAATTATTATCTAAAACCAACATAGAGAAAACATTGTTTGTGCTACAGCATTAATATGACCAAGATTGGTGAAAAATATTAATACTAGCCTTGATAACAATTTAATTAGGTAATGAAAATGACAAGCCTGGGCAAGTTAATGATAATTTTTAACTGAGTTAAGTTAAGTTAATGGAAAACATTTTAAAAAGCTTAAAGTTAACAGTTAACCTAATTTTTTTTTAACTCAGTTAAGTTAGGTATATGAACATTTTCAATTAACATATTAACTTTAGTTAAGTTTATTTATTTATTTATTTTATAATATCTATATAAATACCTAGTAATATGGTTTAAAATAATAAAAATCATAAATATTATTGAACACAGGAAATAGCCAATAGCTTTTCTATACATAAGTACTGAATTAATAGAACTAAGTAGTAGGTACAAAGAGCATACAAAATTTAAAATGCCGAAACAAATACAATCTTTTGATTTATTAATACAGATTAGTATTGTACATATTACACAGACTAGTTAGTGTAGACTGAATGTATTGAGAGAATTAAAAATTAAAAATTCTATAATTTTATAATTTTATCAAAAAAATAAAAATAAACGCATTTCACTGGATACTCATAATCACATCATATTCATAGTTACACAAAAACTGAAACATGGTATTGTAAATCTTTTGTGCTGAGAGAGTCAAGGAGGAAAAGTGAACCCATGTGAGCTATGACTATTTTATTCTACTGACAATATTGACTATTTATAAATATAAACATTTGAAATATAAATATTGATGAGCATAACCCAATTAGTTTTAATTTAAAAATAACCTATTTATGCCGAAAATATTTTACAATATGTTCTTGAGAATTGGACATTTTTGATTTGTACCTATATCAATAAAGTTAAATAATATCATATTATTTATTAGTTATTATTATTACAATATGCCCGTATGCTGCAGTATGGTATGGTATATCTATATATATATATATATATATATATATACGATACACCTATATGTTATAATATATTTGGCTATTGCTAAATCTATATGTATTCAATTGAGTTATTTTTCTTGAAGAATTCTGGTTAATGGAACATGAAATTAATTTAACTGTATTTGTAATTCCCTATTCTAGTAAATGGTTATGTACCTAATATCAATAATAGTTTTTATTTTTATTTTACTTATTATTTAATTATTTATAAATTAACTTAACTTGAATTTTATTAAAAGTAACTCATTGTTTAGTAAGTTTATATCAATTAAAATAAGTTAATTTAAAAATTAAGTTAATAAAAATTAAATTTTAAAAAGTTAAGTTAAAAGTTAATATTAACTTAACTTTTAACTTTTTAACGTGTTTTGCCCAGGCTTGGAAAATGGATAGTAGATTTTAAGTTATTATTTTTTTTTTTAGATGTGGTAGCTGAAAAACTAATTCTAACATACAAGCATTTATTAAATAGTCATGCAAAAAGATTGGAAAAAATACATATTTTAAAAAAAGCTCTATTTATTTGTAAGTCTCCAGTAAATATAAAGGTAAGATTTCTTGTTTTTATAAAATTATTTTATTACCATATATTTTTTATACCTGCATAATGACAAATTCGACATATTTTTAGACAACATGAGAAATGTATAGATAATATGAGTAAAATTATACAAATAAATAACTATGTTAGTTAAGATATCTAGTCAACTAATAAAACAAGTAATAAGATATTATATAAAATATAGGTGTAATATTGTAGGTATAATAAATTATAATAACAATATTATTATATTATATTCCTATATAATTATAAATTACATAGGTATCGATAAACAATAATTTGAAGGTACCAATTATTAAATTACAAACTTGAAATTTATGAGTAAAATACTTCTCAATTAATATTGGATGCATACTTATTATTTAATTCATTATATTAAAACATTTATTCGTACTCAGGAAATTAAAAATATGTGTTGATCTAATTAGGGATAACTTATCCGACTTATCGGGATTTGATTAAAAAGTGTCAAAATATAATAGCTTGAATGTTATTATGTGTGAACAATTTTATTAAAAGTTAATAATTTCAAGGGGGGTCAGAACCCTACCACTACGTACACCACTGCTTAAAACATAGCAAATTTGTGTTCACCAGTTCCAATTTTGTATATTGAGCTTTAATAATAGAGTGAATTGACATTGATCATTATCAAACTTTAAGGTAAAAACATTATAGGTGCTTTCACATAGGTTTTATACAGTATTTTAATTTTTATGCAAGTTATCAGAATCCAAAATATATAATTTAAGAATTCTTATAACTCACTTTATTATATTATTAAAAAACTATGTTAAACCGCAGATAATGTTTATACATTTAAGTGTAATATATCAAATATCTCTATTATTAAAGTTATTGCACAACATTGGAAGTTCTAAATACAAATTTCCAATGATATATGTTCATAAGACGGACCAAAATTTTTTTGAGTGAATTATGTCTTACATCAAACCGATCATTAAACTATACATACAATGTAAAAATACTAAAAAATAGAAACTTTAATAACTATGTAACAAACTTTATAATATTTAGGTATTGCATAAACATAACATAATTTTAGTTATAAATTATACTCTAATAGTTTAATTTATTAATACATACTTGTACATTGTTTTTAATATTTCAGGTTGATGTTGCTGATAATGTAACAATTGATGATTTATTGGACATTGATAATAATGTATTAAGTACTATATTAAAGATTTTTGCAACATTGAACTCTGAAATTTTTTTTTTAAAAAATGATGTTAAAGTCAAATTATTTAATTCTATACTTTATTATGAAGAATGTGGTAAGAATAATAGAATACAATTCAAATGTATTAATAAAACATTTATTGAATATATAATTTATAATATATTATATACCTAGATGAAGATGTATCTACTGAGGGATTAATACCAGTTAAAATTAGTAAATTTTTACAAATTTTATTAGAACTCTCAAATTTTGTTAAGCATTGTGAATATTTGCTGAGTGAAATACACTGTCAATTTATTAATATTTTTGAGTTTCAATTAATAACTGCTGATATTCATTTCCAGGTAAGAATTTAGTTTTTTTATGTTGGTTAATTTTTCAAGATTGTATAGTACATTAAATTCACAGCCCTGCTTAACAACAATACATTAATTTCATTTAAACAATTATTTCAGGGTATTTTTGAATATATTGGTGATTTACTATATTTATTTGTTGAGTTGGATAAGCTTATTATATCACAACCAATCTTACAACAACATTGGTTTCAATATCGAGATATTTTAAATACTATAAAATTAGATCCATCAAAATATGATTGTAACATAAATGATATAATTCAATTAGAAAATATATGCAATGATATTGAATCAACTTTATTATCTGGAAATATATTTGAAGTATGTATTATTATTTTTAAGTACATTATAATAGTAATAATAATTTAGTTTTTTAAGGGCCCGGTGCCGGTTTTTCAACTTTTCCGCAGTTCTATAAAATTTGAAAATTATACTATGTATTTTAGTTGATATGGTGTATTATATCGAAAAAAATTACTGCAAAAGAATAACTCTCAGGTCTTGTAAAATTGTTGGATTTTGATGACTATTTTTTTTATCTGAAAGAAGAATACTTCTTACAGCCCGCATCGGTCTCTTATTTTGTATTTTATTTCAAACAATGGTATTAAACAATTTGTAAAAAAATGCTTTTTATCTTGTATTTTTTATACATATTATAAAGTTTTAGAATAAAATATTGTTGAAATACAGTGATCGATGTGGACTGTAGAATATTTTCCAATAGCAATTAAAAAAAAAGTTATGATATTTGGTTGATTCTACAAGGCAGTATCATATTTTTGAGGACAAAATGGCATCGGCACTGAGCCCCAATATAACCTAACCTTTTATTGATTATTTAACTGATCAAATTAAATTTAAAATTTTGCATTTGAACTTTTATTTATTTAAAAATAGCATCAGATTATTATTTGTTATTTATTTTTTATATTGCTTTTATTATTATTATTTTTAGAATTATGTGTGTATATGTATATTATATGTATAACTCTATTTTTTTTATTCTTCAGAAAGTATTAACTTCAGATTTTAAAGGAAAAAAAGAAATTCAGTCCTGTGATGATTTTGTGAATGAGTTTAAGCTTTATTTGAATAATTCTGTGCTGCTATTAGGACAACGTGCTTATCAGAAATCTAACAACCCTCTACAAATATGGTCACGTATTTGTTCTACTACCGTATTTTATACTTATATATTTGGTGTTTTTGACAAGAAATTACTTAAGCAATTTACAGATTTATTAGAAAAGGTACATTATATTTTATAATTCTTAAATTTTAATCATATGAAATCTATGTACATAAAGTTTTATTGATTAATTAGGTAAATCATATTCCATTGGATGGTAATTTAGTATGGAATCCAGAAATGTTTGTATTGAATTTCATAGGTCATTTACTCAAACCTAATACTATAAGAAAAAAGGAAGACAATTCTGAAAAATGTACTTTGGAATTAATAGACGTTACAAAGAATTTTTCAAAAACTACTTCTAATTATTTACAACAGGTTAGTAATAGATATTTTTATTGTATTATGATTATTGATTAATAGTTAATCCAAGTTTTAACTTAAAACAATAAATTATATTTTGGTTATTTATCATTTTTGTATACAATTATAAATATTTCATTACACCAAGCACTAAACTATTACAATGGATACATATATATATATATATAGATTGTGGGTACTACATAAATAAATTGAAATGTAAAAAAGTATAATATATTTTATAGTGAAGTGAATGATAACTAAATTATTATTAAGTAATATATTTTTCAAAACTAAGAGTACTTACAATAAGCAAAATATCTTTCTACTCAAATCAACCTGAGACAGGAAAATATAAACTAGTAAAATGCCTAAAATTATCAAAGAGGCTACTTAAATAACTTGTGCATTTTTAAAATTATTTATCCGTGATGATTTTATAAATAATCTAGGTAATTAAGTCAAATTAATAACAATTGAAATGCAATTAACACAAATAACAATTATAGAATTGTATACAATTCATATTTGTTTATATCGTAAATTAGTTATGTGAATATAAAAATATAAATTAAATTAGGTCAAAAATGACTTTTAATACATATTATACATATTTGATTTATGTGGCAGAGGAGACTAATTGTGAACTAAAGTGGCTGACAGTACTAAAATCCTTGGTAAACACCTAAATAGAGCCTTCAAATATTAACTTTTTAATATCATATCAGTTTAACATTAGTAAGGCCATTAGGTATTGAAGTATTACAAACTCCCAAAGTATTTAATGTTATAGTTTGTGCAGAAAATGCATAGGGTATATTCTTCTTGGGCCTTACAATTTGTTGAATATATTGTATTGTGCTTGATGGATTCTATATACATATTTACATACCCTATACACACATATTATTATACATATATTTAAGTATTGTATTATGTATAACAAATCTATAATAATAGTATGATAATTAAACTAAAAATATCAGAGCTGCAACACTACTGTAATTATGGCAAGATCAACAAATCAAATATTTTTACTACATTTTTAAGTACTTAATTATTATTATTATTATTATTATTTTGTATTTAGGCAATGATTTGGTTTGCAAGAAGTGAACATATTGAGTTTATTGATTTTCACACTTCAAAAATAGAATACATGCATGACATTTGTAACTATTTGAATGAGGTAATTTTTTTTTTTAATTTTGTCAAGCTATGGCCTTATAAAAATCTTTACTTATATAGAAGTTAACCTAAAAAAAAAAATACTTTTTTATTCTAAAATTATATTTTTTATTATTTTTAATTCAAATGAAATTTAATTTATTTAATTTGTGTTTAATATTTTCAAACCCAAGGTCTGTTTGTCTGTTACATTAGTATTGTATTTTTGTAGGGTATTCAGTTATGCACATCCATTAAGAATACTGTTATAACTTTAATGAATCTACACAGTACCCTCGGTAAACCATTAATTAAATCGAATGTAATATTAATCTGTAGATTAATTGAAACAATGAAAAATATTGGTTACATTTATCAAAAAAATCATATTGTAATGGATAAATTGATAACAGATATAATTCAATATTTTGAATTTTTGTGCCTTTCTATCATTGGCCAAGTTAAAGTAAGAATCATTATATTAAATATTTATGCCTTAATAATGACTTGTCATACATTTTACTAAAAAATTTTAATCATTATAGGCATCTCTTATTTTTAGTGATAATTATGCATATGTGTCCTTATTTAATTATGTTGCCTAATTATTCAATATTATAAAACATTTTCAGACTTAAATTTAAATAATAATAAAATAGTTTGTATATATTTCTAATGAAATATCATTATTTAACGATATATTATCAATGTTTTTAGATATCATGTGCAGATGATAGAAACTTTAATACAAAAAATGTAGATAGGTTGTCGTCTTTAGAAGTATCTGAGAAATTACTGCATGGACCGCTAGTAAAAAATCGACCATTGTTGATAAAACTTGCTTTGAATACAGCAATTGGTTTGCAAGCATTTCCAAAAGCTCAAATATTGAGTATAACACAACATTTAAAGAGAATAGAACTTCTACAATTATTACAAGATGAAATTAAAAGTATTTCAGAAATAAGTTGTATGTATTGGCATCGAGTTGTGTTTCCATTATATTTTAAGAATGTAAAAAAACAACACAAACATTTTAATGGTTTATCGGTACGTTTATTATAATATTATTAATGACCAATTTAATTGAAATGCTTTACCAAAAATTATTTTTTTAAAACAATTTTTTCATTATGCTTTGCTGCATCTGTTGTTAATAAACTATGTATAGTAGAATAAATTAATAGCCTTATATAAATGTATAATAATATGATATTTTAGTTCTAAAACTTGCTCACTTTTTATTCTCTTTAATTATTTAATGATTAAAAATGGTCATTTAATTTTTTCATATTAAACATTTAATATTACACTTTATAAAATAACATAATATTCATAATTTTATTTTATCGTCCAATTAAATTACTAATAATATTTAAGTGATCAGTATTAAAATATCATAAAATTATTGTTTATTATTCACGTCTATTATTAAATATTGAATGAAATTATTATCATCGTATTAACTTATCCATTTTAATTAACTATTTATTTATATTTTCATGAAGACAACATTTGATTTTTTGAAAGATATTTATGAAGTGACATATTTTAGTGACAAAACTACAAAACAAAATATATATAATTCATTCATAGATGAAATTTGTGGTCACTTAAATCATCAAGTAATAGTTTTTATATTTAGTAATTAAATAATTGTAATAATACAAACAAAATAAGAACAGACTGATCAATTAAAAAACATTTTTTTTTTATTTATTTAAATAACTTATCTATAAAGAAGTATAATTTTGAACAAATATACCATCTGTACTGATTATAAAATAGTTGGGCATGCTTAAACATTCAAAATTGAAAATCAGTCTATTCTTTACTGGAAAAAAATTTTTTTTTTAATTTTCTGTACTAGTTAAGTTTTTAAGTAATACATTTTAATATTTCATTAATTAATTTATTAGATTTTAAAACCAATGAATCCAAATATTGAAAATGAATTACGACTTCATGTTATGACCCATGTTCACTGTGTTAAAACGATGCTCAATCAACCGGTTGATATATATATGATAAAACTTCAACATTTGCAGTTTTTGACTAGTTTTATAGACACTAAAAGTATATTTAATATTTTTGAGTCTAAACAAATTTTGGTCAATTTATATTATGTTTTATAGATAGAGCAGAAAATTACCTCAGTGAAACGTTTTATGATTTAACTGCTGTCGCTCTACATGATTGGCATAATAATGGTGTAATGAGAACATTAGCAAAGTACAAATTAAACTTAGAAACTATTGATGATAAATTACCAAATCATACTCTTGAACAAGTTTGTTAACATTTTGTCAAATATTTTATGTTTTTTTATGTTTCTATAAATTATATTTCAGGGTTTAGATGTACTAGAAATAATGAGGAATTTAGATTTATTTATTTCAAAATATTCATACAATTTAAGTAATCAAATATTTATTGAAAACTATAGCACAAGTAAACACTTGAACACAATAAATATTAAGCATATTAGTAATTCTATTCGAATACACGGAACTGGAATTATGAGTACTACAGTTAGTATATATTTGTATCGTATTTACAGAATAATAGGGCTCGGATTTAAATGCTCTAAAAATATCAAAAATATTATTACCTAATGTTATATAGTTTTTTTATTTATATTATGTAGTACTATGTTTATATTACTATGAAGCAAACTTTTTTAATCATAATATGTGAAATAGGTGTTGTAGAATAAATTAGCAATATTTTATTACAATAGGTCAATAATTGAATAATGTCTATTGTATAAAAAAAATTTATAAATATAAAATTCCTCTAAATATTCAAAAAATGCTGTGATTACAGCATGGAGTACTTGAGAGGCACGTATATAGCTTGGAAAGCATTGTGTTAGACAATAAAAAAAAAGCTTAGAATACATTGAAATCCAAGCCCTAATAATAATATATATTATGTATCACATTAGCTTATGAAGTTTCTTATCAAGATTCTAAAAAATGTATTCTATATTTAAGGTTAATACAACTTATCAACTTCTTTGTGGAAAGTTAAACATGTTGTCAAAATATTTGTATGACGAGCGCGTAAAATCAAAACTCAAAAAAGAAATTACATTTCTACATGAAATCCAAAAAACTAATAATATGGTATATCCATTTGAACGTGCAGAAAAGTTTAATTCAAGTATGAGAAAAATAACATTGAATACAAATCAAAATTACATTGATCAATTTAGAATTCTTGTTACCCACATTGGTAAGAAAATAAATCATAATTTAAAATTACAAAAATAAAGACATCAATTTATCAATCTAACAATTAATTCAAAGCTTCTTAAGTTTATCTACCAATTCAAAAACATAAAAATATTTTTATCAACGGTTTTGTTTTTAGGTAATGCACTTGGTTATGTACGAATGATTAAATCTGGTGGTCTTAACTTTTGTTCAATTTCAACTTCATTTATACCAGATTTGAAAAAAGTGATGCAATTTGAAGAGATATGTAACGATTCAGGATTTACCAAAAACTGTTTAATTTCTGGACACCACCTTGATAATGTTGTGCATAATATTTGTCAAAATATTGCAGAAGGCACAAATTATTTTAAAGTGATTACACTATTTAAATAAGTATTAATTGTTTAGATTCCATAAGAATACCTATCTTATACCTTTGGTCTAAATCATTCCTGGAACATAGGTTTGCAACAACACTATTTATTATTTGCACGATTTTGTGTTTAGGTTAAGTAAGAATTTCGTTCTTAAAAGTGTTATGATAGTTGGTAACAATTATTTTAGTTTTAACTTTTAAATAAATTTATTACTATGGTATATAATTGTTCCGGAATTGCATAATAGCATACTATGTTATTAATTTAAGGTTAAAATAAATTGTAATACTATTTGTGATGACCTCAAACTCAATATTTTTAATTAATACAAATATGTTTGTCTTTCAACTAATATTATCATAAAAAATTAATATATTCTGTAATTTTTCCAGTTATTAATTGATGTCTTCATCCAAGCCATGGGTAACAGTAATAATTCACATTTGCATAACTTCTACATAATTATTCCTTCATTAACATTGAATTTTATTGAACATTCAATTAATTCCAAAGAGAAAATGTATAAGAAAAGTAAAGGAGCAATGTTTACTGATGATGGCTTTGCAGTAGGTAAGGATATTCAAAATGCCAAGTATGTTATTAATATTAGCAAATATTTTATAGATGTATTTCTCTAATACAATTTTCATTAAACAAATATTTGTTTAATTATTTAACATATTTTTTATTTTGTATATAGAACTAATTTATATATTATGAATTTTTATTTTTTTTTAACTATTACTTAATGCCGATTTTGTGTGTAGCAATCACATAAAAAATGTGCAATTAAAATGCCAAAATGTTTAGAAACTTGCAATATTAAATTTATTTTGAATTAGGAATTAGAGAACAACATTTTTTTCTATATAGGTTCTTTAAATAAAATTTCCATCACCAATTATTTATATTACGATATTTTTGTATGTATAACAATTTAGTAGATGTATTAAATTTACTATCATGTGCATTTCCAAGTTTTGTCCTTACAGCTTTGGTGCTAGCCAACATTATAATATAAATTACAATAGCCACAGTATATCAATTGTATATGGTTGTTTCATATGAGTTATCTTTATTAGACTGTACTAAATTAAATTCTAAGTAACACAAACTGCAATAACCTTGAACTGTCCAATTTTAACCAAAATAAAATATTATTTAAATTAATCTTTGCTTGATTTGGATCACATGCATTAAAATCCAGTCTTTATTTTTTATAATCTTCATATTATATTATACTAAAAAATAATGTTTACAATCGTAACATTTAAAATAATACTTTATTTAATATACCCACTTAGTGAAATTAATCTTTTTATGAACATCCAGTTGTGGATATTCAACTGAATTTTAACAAAAGTGCATAATATGGACAGGTAATATACATAAAATAGTAAATTGAATATTGTATGCTTTGTTTTATTATTGTAATTTATAAGACAAATAATAGTAATATTACGTATTTTTGTTAAAATACACTATGTACTTTCTGGACATTCAGTTAGTTACTGAAAAGATTGATTTCAATAAGTGGATGCGGCATACAAATGTTATATAATATATTATATTATAAAACAAGGGTTGCCAACCTCCGGCAACGCGTGCACATTTGATGTTATTGAATGGCACACTAGGTTCAAATAATATTAGATATAATTGTTAAATATTTCTAAAATTATGTTTTTTAATATTAAGACAATATAATAATATTATTAGCTGATTAGAATCTATAATAGAGTCAGTCGTGTTATAATAATCACTGTTAATTTTTATGGCACATTTTCAATTGTTTTTCTATTTGGCACAATATAGTTAGTTGATGACTACCCCTGTTCTAAATGATCTGTTTGTATGCATGATTGAATTGATAGGTGTTGCATATTTACTACGTATACTTGGCTTAAAAAATGAATTTGATTCATTGAAGTGGTTTCAATCAGTATCTGAAAATTATGAAGAAAAATTGAATGTACTAAAAACTCAAGAAATTAAAGCTTTAAAAGATGATGCTAAGTTACAACAACCTCTTAGTTTGTCTTATACAAGGCTTCAAGTTTACTATAAAGTAAAATATAAATATTTATCGTTTTACTTGAAACATGTTCTAAGTAGTTTGTCGTTTTCAGGAATTCATGCTATTATATTATAACATTAATAGTGCAAGGATATTTTTTCAGTCGAGGAATATTAATTAATATACCTAAATATTGTGTTATATAAACTAAATACCAAATCTTTTATAGTCATTTTCAGATATTATGTTTGGTTGTTAAATGTTTTATTTATATATTTATTTACATACTCCATGTTAACCATAAAGTTGTGTTTTTATAATTATGTTATATTTTTGTACCTACTCAATAAAATTTTTATATTTATCGTCAATCAATATTGTTCCTAATTTACTAAGATAAGTAATCACTAATAAACAAAGTTTTTGAAATCAAGTATCTAGTATGGTAATATGAATAAAAAAAAAATGAAGGCATTCGATTAGCAGATGATCTATCATATTATACTAGGTAAAGTTGGCGATCTACAATTATTTTGTTGTGTTCATCTTATAAGCTAGGTACCTGCTATACTTTATAGCTTATTATTCATGGTTGGGTACTTAGTATTTAGTAAAAGTCCCAGGCATTTAGCCTATAATATAATGTATAATTTATTATCTCACAGTTGTTCCGACGTCTGTACAGCCAGTGCTACCTACAACTATGTGCTCCTAGGCCTGTTTGCAAAGATTTTTTTTGAGACCAAAAATTAATATTATTACTTAATAGAATTATTTTTAAATATAAAAAGGAATTTAAAGTTACTTTATTAGTTACTAGCCGACTCGTCACAGCTTTGGCCGTGATTGGTTATTTATTTTACCTTCGGACCATAATAATATGTATAATTTTTTATTCAAATTTTATTGTTTAATGTGATCGGCAAGTAAATATAAAAAACTGTTAATGAATACGTTTTGAAATGTGTCTAGTGGTATTAATGATAAATGTATTTTTATACCTGAACCTGTGCACTTCGTTGCCCATAAAAAATCACAACTCTTAAAAAAATTATGATTGTCTATCTACTGTTGGGTGTAACTTGATGCAGCAAGTGCAACTCAGCCACCCTGGTAGGTAATCCAACTACGCTGGATCGCGGACAAAATGCAACTCTTTCACCTTTGTAAGAACCAATGTTCAATAATTCAATTTTATGCAAGCTGTACATGATCTGCCTGAATAACCAATGGCAACCGATAATAAATAAACACTAATTTCTACTGTACACTGTAACCAATGGCAACTATTAATAAATAAAAATAAAATTTCCAATGTGAACCTTAATGTCCCTGTGTGAGAATTTCTTTAAAATGCAAATTTCTTCAAATACTTTCTTATTGCACAGTGAAAGTATTAGAAGAACACCTATTCCAAATTTAAAGTTCATACATTGAGTAGTTTTTGAGATACAGTGATAAGTGAGTGAGTGGTATTTGGATTTTATATAACAACAATATATAGATTTCTTTTTACCTCACCTCCGACAAAAAAAAATGAAAAATCGGGCCATGTGGTGACACTCAGGAAGGTATTTAGAACAACTCTATAAAAAAAAAATGGAAAAATATTAAATAGTGTCTTCACAAAACTGGAAAAAAAAAAGTTCTGTTTTTTTATATAAAGATGAGCTTTGTTTTTTAATTTTTTAAGAACTTATTTATTACTTAATTTTTATTAACGAAAATGGTACTAAAACCTTCTGCAGACTGTCAGGTATAACTGTAAAAATGTCAGCCAAATCGGCTCAGTAGGTTTCTCGGTTAGCTCAGTAATAGAAAACCCCTTACAATTTTATATAGTAGTATAGATTACTTTTCATTTGGTAACCATATCTAACAAATAAATATCAATGTCACTGCACTAACAAAAAATTTAAATAACTGAAAAAATAGGTCATACAATTTTTTTCTAGAAAAATTGGTAGTTATACCATATTATTACTATCAAAGTAATTTATTTTAATATAAGTATTACTGAAGGTTAAGTTTTTGCCAAAAACATTACATTTATTATATTAATTAATAATTAATTAATATAGATGTGTAATTTCAATCATATTATATTATTGTTATTTGTTATTAATTTTTGAGTATTTTTTTTTTAAATTTACCATAGAACAGTGTGAATAGGTTCATGATATAAATAGGTCCCCCGAGAGCTGCACATTGCACACTCAATTATTTCGGAACTGAGTATACCAGTATGGCCTATTCGTTGTTGTTGGTTTAAAACTTTAAAATATTCGTCAGAATTCCAGACTGATACCCCTATTTCATTTTATTTTGAATATTTTAATATTAAAATGAGTGTGCATCTGGATTTTATAAAATAATAAAATTATTGATGAAAAATCTACAGTAAAGTATTTACAAATTCACAATTTACTCCCAGATGACAGTAAAACTCCAAATTGTAAAAATGTGAGTGACACAAAAATTGTAATTACCTACCAGAAATATATTGTTGATCCTCAAACAGTAGATAACACCCATACACAGTGTTGTGAAGTATTTGAGTAAAAGTAATTGAGTAAAAGTATTCAAATACTTTTTTCGGTATTGAATACTTTTTTAAATACTTTTTATTTTGAAGTATTTGAATGGTATTTTAAATACTTTTTTTTACTATTTAATACTATTTTATTGAATACTTTTATTTAATTTTTTTTATTCTCTAGGAGACAGCTTATTGTCGACGATGATCGAAAAGATACATATGTAGTCGGTATCACTATTAGCTAAAGTTAACAAAATATATAATATGTAAAAAGCTTCTACTTAACGGCTATTATATTTTATAGTTTATTTAGTTTATAATTATTTAACTATACGAAAATAATGTTAATAATTATTAGTATCTACTGGCTAGTGGCTACCTATTTATCAAGAAAATTTTTATCAATTATTATCATTATTGTTTATCGATGACGGTATGAGATATCCAAATACATAATATAGCTTTAAATTAATATAATAACCCTGTTGAGAAAAGTTCATTGTTGTAGTGCAACTAACATGAATAATCAGAATTTTGATTATTGAACGAATCATGTTTTTAAAATGCAATAAACACATTTTTGATTATAACAAATTATTTCAGAACTAAAAAGTAAAAAGAATTTTTTTTTTGTATTTGAAGATTATTTTAAATACTTCTGAAAAGTATTTGAGTATTACTCAAATACTTTACTATTTATAGTATTTGGGTGGTATTTTAAATACTTTATTTTAAGAGTATTTGAGTAATTACTTAAATACTTTTAAAAAGTATTTTTTACAACACTGCCCATACAATATAATGTAGGTACCAAGGTACCTATACCTACCTATTTAATCACATCTTTAAATGAAAATAGCGACTTTGAAAAATACACGGAACTACAACTGGATTTATACGTTGTCATCTTTTTGAAGCATGGTGGAGGTCAGTTAACCCCCAAAAAACTTTATTTAAGCTTTTATTGGATTTTGAAAATTATTATTGTACTTAAAAAATTGTAGTTTGTAAATAACTGAATTAATAATATTTTAATTATAAAATGTTCTAAAAAGTTTAAAGATGAAAATAAGTGATGGAATAAATGTATTTGTGTGTAGATTGCTAATTTTCAATTTGTAGATTACTATAATATTTAAACCAAGGTAAATTACATGATATAGTTACAGGAATTCCTAAATGAACAATGACGAATAATTTTTTATAAGCTTAGCTCTTGTATCATTAAGCTATATGTAATATTATCAATTATGTATAATGTATAACTATTTCAGTGCTAATTAAATGATTTCTTTACTGCCACTGAAAATCTCTTACATAAGAATAAACTTAAGGGGGTCGGAGCCGGTGCGTTTTTTGGTGCAAAAACATGTCATGCAGGAAAAACTCTCACGCCCTGTAAAGTAGTCGAATTTCGTTAATTTTTTTTTATTTAAAAGTGGAGAACATTTTGTAGATCGGAATATCGGATCAAAGCCGGATTTTGAAAATAATAATTATAGAAGCTGTAATATGCATTTGAATAATGCACAATTGTTGTTCTTTTTCAAACGTATTTCTCTACTACTAAGTAAAATAAAAATTCGAGCTTTAAACCAACCTACAAAAACTTTTCATCTTTCAGATAAAAAAAATGACCAAAATCCGACATTTCAACGAGGCGTGAGAGTTTTTCTTTATCTGCGAGTGTAATTATAGTTCACTCATACTAATATCAATTTACATATTCACACACATGCACGATTTGGGCCGATACCACATGTGAATTGAATTGCCTAAATTTTAATCCTTAATAAATGACCAGCACCGATACCCTTAATAAAATAACTTATACCAATACTAAGGAACAACTTAAAAAGTAAACTGTAAACTGTAAATTTACATAGGAAAATATATAACAATACAATTATGCTTAAAATGTACGATTTATTATGATTTAAAAAAATGCCAAGTATCTTCCTATAAAAACTCGTTTTTCTCCAAAATATTATTATTATTCATTTATTTTTCAAGATAAGAATACTGGGCCTCACTGAGTATTCTCGTGTGGAAGAACAGCTAGGAGTCATTATGTGTACCTACATGAGTTAATGAGTATAATTATTACTAGTTATACTAATTATAAATAGCATATAGGTTACATGTTGTATCGTGTTTAAAAATTATTATATATAAAATATTAAATAAGTAAAAATATGTGTCTACTGACTAGTGAAACATTAAAATTAAACGTAAATAAAAAGAATCATAATATATAAACTTGAAAAACGCTAATAATTAGATTTGTATGATAATATAAATTCAACAAACAGGTAAATTAAAATATATAATTTTCCATTCAATGAAATAGGACCAAGTGCAGCACCCACTTAATTTAGGCCCAAACTCCCAAGTAAAAATTTTCCTAAAAAAAATCTGTAAGAATGGAGGAAGATTGAAGAAAAAAAAACTTGTTCAATATGTTAAATACTTATCTCATAAATCATAAAATATTAAATTTTGTACATTACTTAATGTAAATATGCAATTTAGTTGGTTTTGAAATTAAGAAGAATAAGATATAATAAAATACTACGTCTGACATATTTTATTGTCTCCGTCTTAGAAGTGCGTAACATGCCAAATTTTACGCTCAGCACAGC